AAATGTGGTTCAGGGCAATTCAGTACCATATGAACCCAGGTACCAAAAAAAACAGCATCTGAGATACACTCATACCTCATATCATAAAAGGGGTTTGTTTTCCATCAAATGAAAAAGACCAAATTTATGGCATGTCAAAAATAGAAAGTCAGGTATCATAGCTGTTCTTGCTATTGGAATTGGAGAATTTACATAAACACGTATTACCACCATTATGTACTTGTGTACTATTTTCTACTATTTAAATGCAACGGAAAGCACCCAAACAATCTGCAGAATTCTAGAGGAAAATACTCTTTGGTTCTACTCATTAGATAGGCTAACAGATTAATAAAAACCAAGTTTTGAGTTAAAATTGAATGTGCACCACATTCAAGTTGGAATACTCTCTTTTCCCTAGGTAAATACAAGAATAAAAATAAAAGGCTTAAAAATTTCACTCTTAATTTCCCTTTTACACCCTAAAATTTCTAATGACCAGAGGACTATTATTAAATGTGATCAAAAGAATGATTTAAATTTCCTATGAAATCAATATTTTCACATACAAGGAAGAAACAGCTGCTGACTGGTAAGGCCAGGCCTCAAAGCTGGGGGTTCTGCCATCATGCCCCCTCGGCTCTGAGAGGATGAGTCCACAGGGCTCCCCCAGCAACCATAAAGCAGTTCTGCCTCCACTTAAGTAACTCAAGAAACAAGAAACAGGGGTTGGGGGGGGTAGGGGGCACAGGAGACAAGTCAGTACTTAGTAGCATCCTTCAATTTTGCTGAGGCCCTGTAAGGTCTAAGGGTCTACAAGATATATCCTGAAATCCCTGATGAAAAAAGAGAGTCCATTCATACACTACGTGTAAAAACAAAACTAATTTCAGCTAAGCAACCAGATATTTGGAAAAGATCCAGTCCCCAACTGGATTGAGAAGTTTGTTTGTCTAGATAGCTTCGTGGGCAAAATACAGACCACATCCCAAACTGCTGCTCCTTCGGAGGTCAGCTCTATAGATTGAACACCTTGAAGGGCTGTCACCGTCTGGGTATTTGCTTGCTGGTTGGGGAGAGACAGGTGGTTGCTAAACTGGAAAATTAATTTTTGGAGCTAGAAGAGAATCACCGTTGGGGCTACCAAATATGCCTCACCGAGATTTTTAGCTAGTTCACAGCCCTGATTTGAGTTTTAATTTACGCTTTTGTCCTCTATAAGGACATAGGAGAGGAAGATAAGCAATCCATTCTTTCAAAGGCAATTAGTAAAAAGGGGAGGGAGGGCTGGTTCCAGGTCTTCTCAAAAAGGAAACTCAGAGCTTTGCTCCAACTGCCGCAGCAGGCACTGCCACGACCCAACATCAGGAGGGGCTCACCGTGCGCCACACGGCACACATGTAATCCCAAGTATGCATCGCATGCTGCAACTAACCTCATGTACAGATGAGGAGACTGAGGCTTACAGAGGCGAACCACTTGCTAAAAAGGTCACCCAGCTTTACTTGGCTACAGTAAGCCATGTAATTTGTAACAGAGAGGCCAAGACTCGACCCAGATCCAACTGTCATCATTCTGGCATCTCTTGCTTATGGAACTGCCAACGGGGAGTTGATTATTTATAGCTCCTCTCCTGCAAAGGAGACCCAAAGCAGGAGAGAGAAGAACTTCCCACTTACTACGTTGAGATTTGCCTTTTAAAGGAGAAACTTGAGGGCAACAGAATATAGATCAGTCTTACCCATTCCTAAAAGCCCAAAGTGGGAGGAAAAAAAAAACAGCTTCAGACAGGTGAGGACTCACTCATGAGGCTTCTTTAAATTCTGGTATTAGGGATCCTATAAAATTTTTAGAACTGTATGTGTGGGATGCCAGGGTGGTTCAGTCAGTTAAGCATCCCCCTATTGATTTCAGCTCAGGTCATGATCTCAGGGTCGCGAGATCGAGTCCTGCGTCAGGCACCGCACAGAGCTTGGAGCCTGCTTAAGATTCTCTATCTCCCTCTGCTCCTCCCCCTCCCAGTTGCGTGCCTCAACTCCCCCCTTAAAAAAAAAAAAGAGGAAGAAGAAGAAGAAGAACTATGTGTGATACTCACTTTAATGACAAAAGTTATCTTTGTCTAATGCCTGGGACTTCGGAAGTAGTCATATATGAATGCAACAAGCACATCATTAAAATATATATTGGCTATAATTCTAAAAAATGTTTTTGTGAAATCTACCAGGAAAATATTTTTCCTGTGATTGTTTCCTGCAATACACAGTATTAAGTACTTCTGAACTACAACTACACAACTTATTTCCAAAAAAGTGTGGCACTTAAAACTATATTTATTTAATAGTTGTCATTCAGTATTATACGTGTATTTTTTAAATTTTAGAAAATGTGGTATACTAACCACAAGCAGTATTAAGCAGTATTAAGCAGGTACATTAATGAGCATGGGGGCTAAATTAACAACGGGCTTCTAAAAGTATGTGAATTTACCTCTCGTTCCTGTCAAATTCCAAAAAAAAATTCCTCCAACCACTGTCCTGTACCTTATATGTACTAGTCTTCAGGGAATGTTTTTCTTTTTTCTCAATACAATCATTTCATTTTTAAATAAAAACGTTTTAAAATAAATTCTAATGCCGCAGCTGCCGTTTTGGCAGTGAGACTGTCACACAGAGAGCCGGTGTTAAAAGATCAGATTAAGAGCCTTCAGACCTGGCACTGAGTGACGCTCGCAGCCATGCAAGAGTGATTTTCCATGCCTCTGAAGAGACAGGAAATAGAATTCATCTTCCTCTAATAACCTGCCTCCTCCCCTCCCTCCAGATTACGGTCCATCTGGCCTCAGGACAGAAGAGAGGAGTCTGATGCTCACAGAATGCCCAGAAGATGAAACGAGGTGGGCAATGTTCAGACACAAAACATCAGAGAGGCCTGGGTGGGACAGGAACAAACATGTCTGTGGCCCACACATTAATAGACACACACCTTAAGAAACTGAAAAAAGAAGAGCCAATTAAATCCAACGTTAGCAGAAGAAAAGATACACACAGAATCAGGATTTAGAAAACCATGACACAGGTCATTCATTACACACAAATCAAGGATTTCAACCAAGAAACGTCAAAAGAATCTAGGAAATAAACAGTAAGTGGTGAGATCACGATGCTGTCTTCCCAGCCTCAAGCAGAGAAAAGGAGTCCCAAGTGTCTCCCCGTGGCTTTCCTCTGTGGGGTACAACTCCTTTCTTAGCCAATTCATTCCAGTCCGGTCTTGCTCGGCACCACTACCATTACACATTCTCCTCCTACTGGGCCTGCTCACACAAACAACACAACTCATGAGGGAAAACAACCTATTTGCAAATCAGCTCCACCAACACCCCCAAGACCTCCTTCCACTTCTGCATATAACCCCACAGATCCTGGGAAAATGCCATGGGGATAAGCTATACCACTGATTATAGATAGGGGGTCTATGCCTGCAAAGGCCTCAAGTCTCATACCACCCCAGGGACAGTTCGAACTCTTCCCTCCACCTGGGGTAGAACACCTCAGCATGGTTACAGCTCTGTGGGTTATATACACATTCTTCCCATCCTCCATCTCCATAAAGCAGAGCTACTTCAACTAAGAAGAAACACACACTGGTCTGGATTGGGCGAAGCGTGGCCCAGCTTCCCGAAGAAATGCAAACAGGCCTCTTAACTCTCCCTCATCACTCCACCCAATCTAGTCACAGCAAATCCGGAGCAGAAATAGGCAAATGGGGGTATAGTGGGTAGTGGTTTTGTGGTCACAGCTAAAGGGCGAGAAAGACAACTCCTCCATTGTTGTTTGTGGTCCAGAAGAACCTTTGAATTCAGGATGTTAACTCAGGTCCATGGTTTGTGAATATGAGCACCTCCGTGGGATATATATCTGATGAAAGGTACCCATGGTTACTGAGATCCAACCCAGTTCAAACCAAATAAGAATTCACACAGTAATTCCCATTATCTATAACACACACCCATGCTCAAATACCCGCTGCAGGCCTACATCAGCACATGCCCACTGGTGGGCAGGCAGATGGACAGCTCCCCTGGAAAGCAAGGCCACAACACAGCTAAAGAAGTAAAGGGTAGGAGGAGAGTGCCCCGGTGCCTTCTAGCCCACAACACACAGCTCGGTGGCTGAGACACACAGATACTCCATTAGTTAGCTTCTTGCCTTCTCACAGAAGACCTTACCTGAGCAAATGACGGATTCAGTAATCCAGAAGCAAAAATGATCTCTTGAGCACTGTCACCTAAACTTTGTAACTACCAAAAGCAAGCGAGCAAACAAAGAGGGGTAGAAGCCACAAGGATGCCACCATCCACAAGAAATGCACCTTCTCATTCCAACACGAGTGCGTCTGCACAGTGTGTGCTTCCACCGCTGGTGAGCAAGAAGCAGCAGGTGAGCCACACGACAGGCACGGGCCCGGACGATGCGCGAAGTCTGTGGTACCCAGAGCACCGAGTCCACAGAGTCCATCCTGCGTATCTTTTTCCAAGTGCACGCACAGTGTTAGGACTTCAACAGGTAGTAAGTTAACTTTTTTAAAGCAGCTAGCCAAAAGTTACATTAGTTTGTTTACTACGTAAAGCACTTTCTATGGATGTGTCTTCTGCCAACTCTTAATGCCCAGCGACAAAAGTGTAGAACAAACCCTTCTGGGCAATATTTCAATCCACCTTATTAGATGCCATTATGAAAAACAGTCGTAATTCTGAGCAACACTACATCGTCCAATGACAGCAAAATATTTTAACAATTGAATTTTGCTTCACACATTAGAAAATGTTCCATTATATGAACACAGTTATACTCCACTGAATGTTAATAAGGTGTAGAAGTTGGAATGTGAACACTGTATCTTAGAAATGTGCCATACAAACACCAAGAGACTGACAAGGCCGAAGAGTCAGTTCCACAATCCCTTTTCTGCAAAACCACTAAAATGGCACCTTCTAGCCCAGTGTCTCAAACCAACTGCCTTACCTCTTGGGACAGGAAGGGAATGACTTGTGCACAGATCGCATTCAGCCTCTTGACAATCTCTGCCTGCATTAAAAAAAAAAAGGGGGGGGGGGGAGGAAAGCAATAAAGAGAACAGTCAGCTGGTTACAAATTCCCGAAATATTAACAGGATGATATTAAAACACACTTTATATTCTGGCTGGCGTATTTCCTAAGGAAGAGGAAAACTCTCAGCAGCAAGCCCATTAAAAGGAGGCAGTGACAACAGTGCCACATTAATAGCACAATTTATTAACCAGCATTCATCTTAAAAAGTCTACCTTCAAGTACCAGGACAACATAAAAAGGAATTTATTTTCATGACTGGAAATCAGTTTTCAACAGGACCCTTGTTCATTCTAATACGGTTTTTCATAAAACCTTGAGTTTTTAGTTTGACAGTAAAAATACATTCTTCCCACCATCCCAGTTTCTCCCAGTAACTCATTGGATTTCTACATTTGTGGCCTTTGCTTCAAGTCCCCAACCTTCCAAAAGAAGAGCACCCAACCAACCCAAATAAGTTGATTAACTCAGATCCTTAAGTTACAAATTGCTAGGGAACAGCATGTTTTCTTCAATCATGAAAATTTCCAAATGGGTCCCACCAGGGTTTTCACTGTGCAGAGGTAGACCGTGGTAAAAATTTCCCTATACTTAACAGAAAGGGATTTGTGTATATATATAAATATATGGAAACTAACCTTTGGAACATTACTTATTCTTGAACTAGGGATCTGCCAAGTCCTAGCAACATCAGATAATAGTTTATTCTCTAACAATTTTTGTAAGTATAGAAATTTTCTATCAATAGGATGCTACAGTAAGTTAAAGAAAGAAAAAAAGAAAGAAAGAAATGCCACCACCAACTTCTCTTTAAAAATCTACCCAGAGCTTCACTGATGTTCATCTTAGTTTGTATTATCAGATGGCTCCTTATATACTTCAGGATGGGACATGTAAACACATGGTTTTCCGATACACATAAATGCAAAATATCTTATATTTTAAATGGTGGGTGGGGTGAAGGACAGGCGAGAAGTGTCGAGAGGCAGAAAATGTAAAAGCAATTACTATTCCTGAGACATTCTTAAAATAAATTCCATCCAGGGTCAGTTTCTCATTTTATAAGAGGACAAAAATGCTTTTTCTTGCTAAGTCATTACCAGAATGACAGCGACACTCTCCTTGTGCAATCTAGGTTTCCTTCTTTCATCAGCAACCCTTTTGACTTTGCGGCTATGCAATCTTTTAAATGCCAGCACCTTAAAAACTTTGCCAGCCAAGAGAAAACACAAATTCACCATGAAGGAAGTTTCAAACCTAAGCTTTCCCTCCCAGCCTGCATTCCCAACCTCATGGACAAAAACCCAGCACCAGTAACGCAGCAGTGAAGAAGGACCCAACTGTGCTGACCTGATTTAATTTACCGCACTGGCCCCATGGAGCATTTAGCTATCCTTTAAGAATGCTTAAAGCACCATGAAAAGCTGCAGTGGGAATCACCAAACCACTCTCCACCTGGACAGACATAGCACAGTGGTTCTGGGTGAGATTCCAGTGTGAGCTGAGAGAATCGAGTAGCATTCACCAGAGAGCACTGCGTCTCAAAGGCATTTGGCTGTTGAGCTTTTTGTAGGGAGAGATGGAGGGGGAGAGAATAAAAGATAATGAGACACTTTGGGGCAGACCAAACTGATGATTCTAATGCTTAGAACCATCTGCCAAGCATATTTTCCTCATTATGTTGTTTACATAAATAAAATAGTCCCTTGCTAGGAGGGTTTAAAAATGTGTGGGCACATTAGAAAACGGAGTTCTTTAGTTTGCCTACATAATCTAGGCAATAAAAACTACTCTAAGAAAACTTGCTCGTCAGGCAAAATAAAGACCAAGAGGCATTTATTTGGCCTTCTTCAATTTTGGGCCTAGGCTATTTTAAGTCTGAGCAACTGGAGAAAAAAAAATCTGCATTTTTCTTAAAAGTAAGTGTAGAAAAGTAGAAAAGTAGATTTATTTTATTCATGTATGTTAACACACATAACAGAAAAAAAGGGGAGGATCCTGCAAACTTTTTCTTTATAGGTCTCCTTTTGCTTGAAAGACTTCTTAATTTCTTTAAGTTGTCATGCCAATGGATTTTTCATGGTCAGGCTAATTGGCGGCAGGGGGGTGGGATGTGTGTGTGATTTCATAAAATTAAGCAGGTCATTCCTCACTTTGAAAGCTCAAGTTGCCTCGGAAACACTTCTGCTTCCATGGTCAACTAATTTTGCCTCTTTTGTCCCACAGGACCAAGCGTTAGGGAGGCATCATTTATTTACGGGCCTTTCCACTGGGCTTCAGTGATCAGCCAATAATACTGTGGACACACACTTCTAATGGCCTATGTTTTGAAACTGAGTCTAATCTAATGGCGTGGGGCCCAAACTCCTTTTCCAGCACAGCCATTAAAGGATGTAGGTTATTGCTGTTGTCACCATTGATATTTGTCATTGTAATGTAATTAGGGCCCTAAAATGATGCATTACAGCCCTTGGCACAGCTTCTATTAAAATCTTTTCTTCTGCTCACTGAACTGCGACCTGCTTTCTGATGAATAACAGACAGACAGCTTTAGGGTAAGGAGCAGATTCATCAAAGAAGTATTTTTCAGCTTTGGGGAAAGGGGGGGGGGGGGAAAGGCAACCTAGGAGGAAAAGCACTAGGGGAGGAAACGCCACAATACACATTTGAATTTCATCTGACCACTTGAAATTCTGATTGCATCTGATGAATCTTGCTTAGACAATATATTCCCAGTCTTCGAATCACATGGTTAATCAGGGCTCTAATCTGCTATCCATCAGCCTATGTCAGCGCTGTAGCTTCCAATCAAATTGATAGGTGATGTGGCTCATGCATCCCTGAGCAAGTACATTCACAGATAGCCCATTTAAACAGACCAAGATTCTGAACTACTGCTGTTAGGGCACTGCATGTTATTGTGGTATTCGAGGCTTTACAGACACTGATAGACTATTGTCTTTAGATGCTCGCGGTATTCCAAAACAGCATGAACGGCCCCAGTAGAAGGACAACTGTTCATGCCAAAACATAACAAAATAATTTGTTTTTACCGCCACAGTCTGTCGAAAGCATTAACAATTTTTGATATTTCGATTATGTCTTCCTCTACCCACCAAGACAGTCATTTAAAAATAAGTTTCACACATGAATGCTGACAGGCTAACACCTCCAAAATGGAGATGGCCAGTGGCCTAGTGGCATGACCAGTTGGTAATGGAACAGAAAAACATAAGGAAGAAGGTTTCATCGCTTTTTTTCTTCATACTCCAACTCAAGAACTGTTGGAAAATGCTTTAACTACCTTGCATCATGGGAAAGCAACATCATGCACTGAAAAGAATGCCACAATTCAATCATTAGATTAAAAAAGTAACAAATGCTGAAGAACACAATATCAAATACATATTTTCTTTATCACTTATAACAAATTACATTAGTCATTTAAGTAAGACAGAAAACTGGTTAAGCCTACCCTTGAATTGAATTACATCCCCTCAAATAGTTGTAATATAATAAAAATCTAATTTTTATTTAGATTATTTCCGCCTATGTGATTTCCTTAAAAAATTAAACAAATTTTATTTTTATGACATAATAAACTTGAGAGAAAATACAGATAACTTTATTTTAGTAATCAAAGAAATGTATCAAAAGCAATTATTGGTTTAAAAAATATTTCTTGGAGTTTTAGTCTCTCATCAAAATAGGAGCAACACTACTGCACAGTATTATTGAAATAAAAGAGAAAAGCAAAACATTATTTGGAAACCATTTTAGCAGCCAACCAGAAAACAACAACAAAACACAAACAATTATAGTTTCAGAAAAAAATTCTGGAATAACATCTCACAATTAATTTGCTTTCTACAGCAGTTTCTTTGCCAAAAACGTTTTTAAGAGAGACTCTACCTTATTAAGCGTTTATCAAGAACATACATTCACCAATTATATAAAACACTTCAAAAAAGTGAAGAGAAATTTCTTCTTAGTCTATCTGAAATCCTTTTTGGAGTAAGTACAAATAAATCCTGCAACCCTCTCCTTCACCCTTCTTTTACGTCTACACAACCAAAGACTGTAATTTTTTATTTCAATCAGAAAATAAATTATCTTCATTTGTTCATTGATCTGTTCCAAATTTTCTCAGAAATGGCCTAAATTCTGGAACTGATCCTGCTTGCCCCTAGATTAAAAAGTCAGAGGACTAATGAGAAATTCTTTCCGACTTACTAAAAATCCAGGCTAAACCTAAGGAAAAATACTCAAGTAGTACTATTTCTCAAAACTGACAACTCAAGGGCGCCTGGGTGGCTCAGTCGTTAGGCGTCTGCCTTCGGCTCAGGTCATGATCCCAGGGTCCTGGGATCGAGCCCCGCATCGGGCTCCCAGCTCAGCGAGAAGCCTGCTTCTCCCTCTCCCACTCCCCCTGCTTGTGTTCCCTCTCTCGCTGTGTCTCTCTCTGTCAAATAAATAAATAATCTTTAAAAAAAAAAAAAACAAAAAAAACCTGACAACTCAAGTTTTTATCTTGTTATCAAAATTCAACTTTACAAAAGAGATAAGCATATACAATGGATAAAACTAATTTTTGTATTAAAAAAAAAAAAGCCAAACTGGAATTAAGGCACAGAGATTTAGACCAAAGGTACGGCCATACTGTCAGCACTGCTGGCAAGCTGGTAAACCAGATGCCTGGGTTTTATTTTAGTTCAGGTACTTATTTGTACAAAATATTTTATGCTGCTTAATAAAGCAATAAATGAAGTGATAACATTGTGAGAATCAATGTGATAAGACATTTATCAGTTTCCATAAAGGACTGATTCAAACTACTAAGACTTTTCCTTTTGTAAGTATTAAGACTTCTAAAAGCTCTCATCATCCCACGTCCTTTAATAAGAAAGAGGTACTATCTAGGAGTATTCAATTAGTCTTACCTTGAACGATATGAAAGTGCCAATATTCAACCAATTTTT